GTTGCTGCTGCGGCTGCTGCTGCTGCGGCAGCTGCTGCGGCAGCTGTTGCGTCTGTTGCTGCGGTTGTTGTTGCTGTTGCTGCTGCGGCAGCTGCTGCACCTCCTGCGGCTGCGGCATTGCCTCCTGCGGCTGCGGTTGTTGCTGCTGTTGTTGCAGCGGCGTCTCCTTCATTTCTTGCTGCTGCTTATCAGCGGGGTGGGCTTCTACGGCTCCCCCATCTGCTGCATTGGGTCCTGGGGGCCCCCGAGGGGAGGGGGGGGCCCCCTCTGCGCCTAGGGGCACCTGTGCGGTGAGGGGCCCCCTTGGCTGCTCGGAAGGCGTTGCTTCAAGCCCGTCTGCAGGCGCTAAGGTAGCACTAGGCCCTGGGGGGCCCCCAAGCACTGGGGCCCCCCCCAGATAAGCATCAGAGAGAGGAGACGGAGGGTGCACCCCCATAGCTGAGCTGGCGATCAAAGGGGGGCCCCCTTCATCCCTTAGGGGCCCCCGTACTGGCCCTCCTCCGCCTGCAGCAGGGGCCCCTACCTGCACTTCTGGGGCTGCAGGTGCCCCGGTACCCTCGTGCGGGGGCCCCCTCAGGCCTGGGGGCCCCAGGGGGGCCTGGGGCCCCTGTGATTGGACTGCCTGTTGCCTTTCAGGGCCTTGATAAGTCTGTAGAGGTGCAGGGGGGCCCCCAATCCCAGTAGGGGGGCCCCAGGAAGGAGAGGGCTGGGAAGCAGCGGAGAGCAGGGGGGCCCCTAAGGGGGCCCCCTGCTGCCCGGTGGGGGCCCCCCCTGAAGCGGAGGCGAGAGCATGAAGGGAGAGGAGAGAGAAGGCTGTCAAGAGGAGAAGGCCCCAGAAGAGGCTGCAAGTAGGCCCGTGGGGTGGGGACGCCATTAGGCTGGGGTGTACGTACACCTCAGATAAACCCCAAGGAGTATTACTAACAACACTGAAGGGAGAGCAGCATTTGTGTTTGTTGGGGGCCCTCAGAGGCCCATAGTTGAAGAGTGAGGCTGCAATAATATAAAAGAAAAAAGAAAATGATTAAGGTTTGGTATTAAAGGCGAGGGGCCCCCTCTTGCTGCTTTGAGCTCAGCGTACACCCGAGCAGAGGGCTCTGGGGGGCCCCCAGATCCTTCTTTGCTTTTGTTTGTGCTGCTGCTCTACATTTAAGGCGTTAATTGAGGTTTTCATACACAGGGCGACTCATTCTTAAATCAATTCTCTTGTAAAACACAAATATAGACTCAAAAATATACAGGCGGCCCTCTCCTCCCTCTCGCACAGCCCTCTAGGGTTTAGGGTTTAGGGTTTAGGGTTTAGGGTCTAGGGTTTAAGGCATAGTATTTAGGATTTAGGGTGTATCGGAGTGGCTGTATCTCCAGCAGAGGGGAGATAGCAGCTCAACTAGCGGGTAGAACCAGTCAGAGGTGTTGCTGCTGAGTTTAGGGTTTTGAGGGTTTAGGGTTTAGGGTTTAGAGTTAAGCGTGAGCTTCTGGGGTGTACGTACGTACACCCCAGATGACCTCTGCACAGAGTCTTTAATGCGGGCGAAGGGGCGCACTTAACACAGAAGGCGGGTAAAACCCAGAGATGGATGGGGCCCCCTAAAGGCCTCATACATATGGGGGCCCCCTAAAAGCCTCATAGAGATGGGGACCCCCTAAAGGCTTCATACATTTGGGGGCCCCCCAAAAGGCCTCATACAGATTGGGGCCCCCTAAGAGCAGCCTCATAGAGATAAGGGCCCCCCAGGACCAGCCTAATAGAGATGGGGGCCCCAAGTAACCCCGCCCGAACCCCCTAAACAAATTCTGAAGCTATCGTCCATCCTTCATTAAGGGTGTTGTTGTTGGGGCTGCTTGTTGATGCAGGGTTAAGCACTATAGGGTCCCTAGGGGCCTCTACGTTTAGGAGCCCCTAGGGTTAGGGGCCCCTATGGATATGGACTCCCAGGGGTCTTCTTAGAGGACTCTCTTAAGGGGTTTCTGCTTCTGTTTTGAATGCAGTTGCAGCCACAGCAAAGGCCTTGATTATTGTTTATCTTTATGGCTGCTGTTGCTGCAGCATTGGTTATATATTCAGGTGTACGTAGGCCCAGCACAGCTAAAGATACATGTGGGGCCCTTCTTCCTCTTGTAGGCCCCATACTACTCCAGTAGAATGCATAGAAGGGCCCCAGGGTCCCTATGAGCTGTCTCTGTAGCTCAGATTAACTCAGCACAGTCTTAGAGTAGAGGGGCCCCTTTGCGTTGGGCTGAGGGTCTCTTCTTTCATTTGCGTTTGTCTAAGAGAAAGGAGACAAAGGGAGACAGAAGGAGACACAAGAGGGAGACATAAGAAGGAGACAGGCTAGAGTTGAGTAAAACTCCTACCCTAGGGCATTGCAGCTACTTAATGCATGCTCTAGAGTGCTGCTGCTTTGTGCATGCATGCGCTTGAGGGTTATTAATTTGCTGCTGCAGTGTTGAGGCCTGTCTCTTATCTGTCTCCTTTCTGTTTGGAGACAGTCAGATATCTTATTAGGGGCGTTTACTCCTCTCTGTCTCCTTCCCTCTCCAAGAGTAACACTAAAACTCTTCTTTACTGTACATACGCCGAAGCAAAGTCCTTTCTATTAAGAACGGGGCCCTGCTGCAGCTGCTGCAGCTGCTGCAGCTGCTGCAGGCTGCTGCAGGTTGCGGTGTACGTGCTGCGGTGTCTCCTCAGCTAGGCGCCCCAAACCATTCTGAACGCCCGCAGGCCTCACCGCTAAAGGCCCACCTGCATTAAAGAAAGAGGGGGCCCCTGTCCCTTTGTGGGGGGGCCCTATGGCATAGGAGGCCCCCCCTAGGGGGTAAGCGCGCCCTCCAAGGGCATAGGGGGGCCCCCCAAGGGCGGAGGGGGGCCCCCCAAGTGCGTAAGGGGGCCCCCCCCTGCTTGGTGTGTCTGTGGGGCCCTCTTCTGGGAAGCCACTCAGTAGGGGCTCCCCTATATCTAATAGAGCATATTCAAAGGGGGTTGAGGGTGGGGGGCGGCTATTATTGTGGGTGGAGGGGACAGAAGGAGACAGGGCCTCCTGCTGCTGTCCCTGCACCTCTGCTGTCTCTTCGTGTCTGCCTTGAGGAGACACATTAAGGAGAGAAGAGCCAGCAGCAGCTGCTGCTTCTTGTTTATACCTGTGCTGAAGCTGCTGCAGAGACAGTCCCCTTGAACGTCCCCCTGTAAAGGGATCGGGCAGCTCCCATGCTGCCAACACTGAGCCTTCAGGAGACAGCAGCAAACCAACGTCTGCAGCGCAGCAGCAGCAGCAGCAGAAGCAGAAGCAGCCAATGCTCAGCCGCAGCAGCAGCAAGAACAGCAGCACCACCAGAAGCAGCAGAAACAGCAGCAACAGCTGCAGCAGTAGGACCAGCGGCCCCACAAAAAGCAGCAGGAACAGCAGCAACGGCAGCAACAGCAGGAAGAAGAAGTGCTATAGGTTGTGATGGGGAGGCGCAAGGCAGCAAGCTAGCTGCGTTTCTGGCTGTGCTGCTGCAGTGTCTCCTCAACTCACCCTCTTTGAGCAGCAGCACATGCCCTCGACTGAGAGACAGAAGTGTCTCCTTTGTTTGGAGACTCCGCGCTGCTTCCTTCACCCTAAAAAGATGTTCTTCGCCTGGGTGGGGCTGCATGCAAATAAAACAGCAGCAGAAAGGGAGACAGCGTATGCAAAGGAGACACCAACGGCGAAGGAGACAACGGCAGCAACGGAGACAGGAAGCAGCAGCAACGGAGACAGGAAGCAGCAGCAACGGAGACAGGAAGCAGCAGCAACGGAGACAGGCAGCAGCAGCAGCGGAGACAGGCAGCAGCAGCAACGAAGACAGGCAGCAGCAGCAACGGAGACAGGCAGCAGCAGCAGCGGAGACAGGCAGCAGCAGCAACGGAGACAGGCAGCAGCAGCAACGGAGACAGGCAGCAGCAGCAACGGAGACAGGCGGCAGCAGCAACGGAGACAGCGGGTTTGTTTGGAGGCGAGACAAGGGGACAGTGGAGAGGGTGTGTCTGCAGGAAGGAGACAGTCTCTTCTTACCCGGAGCAGCAGAGCAGAAGAACCCCCCAACTCATACAGAGGTATATCTCTTAGCATGCTAATATCTACCTGTCTTGCACCAGCAGAGTAGACAATAAGGGCCTCATGAGCCTCAATGTCTCCACCGGAGACACTCCCTGCCCCTTCAGCCCAAGACACCGTTTCGGGGGCTAGAGGCTGCTGCTGCTGCTGCTGCTGCTGTTGCTGCTGCTGCTGTTGTTGCTGCCCACCTGCTGTTTCATATTGTGTCGCCACTTCTCTTCTTCTTTCTTCCACCCACCTCTCAGAGGGGGCCCCTTTGGGGGGCCCCTGGGGGGCCCCCTGGAAAGGCCTCAAGAAGGGCCTTTCGGGGGCCCTACTTATAGAAAGGCTGAAGGGCTGCGGTGTCTCCGTCTTTCTCTCGAGGAAGACTATGGGGGCCTCGGAGACTGCGTGTCAGCAGCAGCAGCAGCAGCAGCGCATCAGCAGCAGCAGCATCAGCAACAGCAACAGCAACAGCAGCAGCGTACACGGCTTGTTATGGGTGAGGAGACACCTCAAAGCAGCCAAAATTGGTGTCTCCTTTTGTTGCATCTCTGACAGGAGGACGTGGTTAAGGGGCAAACGGAGAGAGACAGAGGGCAAAGAGACAAGGAGACAGAGACAGAGTAAGACAGAGAAAGATAGACAGAGACAGATATATGCACACTGAGAAAGATATAGAGACAGAGACGCATGGAGAGAGACAGGTATAGAGAGACAGAGACAGACAGAGACAGACAGAGAGAGAGAGAGAGAGAGAGAGAGAGAGAGAGAGAGAGAGAGA